CTCTCAGTTCTTTAAACCGCCGGAAACTATAAGATCTTTAAAGAGGATAGTTGCGGTAGCGACTTTGAAGGCGTTACCTATATGCGTATGTACGGAAGGAATGGAAAGCCCGCATAATCTTACTTCGATGCTACTTGTTGCAGGAGGCTCTCGAAGTTCTGCGTACGACCCCTAACACGGTCGAATTGGTGGTGTGTCGGCTTCCAGGAGATAGTAATGTTACTCCACCCGGTGCACCGCCGCCACCTCCGGCAAGGCGGGAGCCGTCGTCGTTACGTATACTCAACCCGCTGCCACCTCTGCAAATTGAACCCTGCGGTGTAAGTACTTCTTTTAAATAGCTCTTCATGAATGTATGCTCGATTCTCTGCCGAGTCGTTGTTTGCATTAATTAATAATGAATAACGCGTCAGCTGATTTAATAAAAGCATTTAATCTGTATAAAAGCATTTAATTTATTAGATAATTGTATGTGGATAGAGAGACAAGGATAATCGTGCATTATTTTAAAAAATAATGGTTTTATAGTTATTATACATGTATAATAGAGTAATATATATATAAATTTTTAAACATACAATGTTGCTATTATTGATAAATTATCTTTGTTAATAATGTATGATGTAATAAAGAATAAATATTAATGTTAAAAGAACTAAATTATAGATATTATCGGTAAATATTGCATATATTATACATATATAATAGAAACAATATTTGTATTTAATATTAGAAATAATAATTAAAGCATTTCCCGCAGCAATATATACGAATAAATAATTATTCGCGCTAAGAGTTATTTAGTTTCATCCACATTGATTGATTTAATTAATAAGCCTATTCTAAATAACAACGAAATAGTTCCGAAATAGTATCCATCGATTAATTAAATTTAGATAAAATTAATAGAAATAAAATCTTATTTCTAGAAATTTCTAAAACTTAATTTATTTGCAGATTATAATTTTTTGTTCAGACTGTTAATACTCATGATTAAGTAAGACGATGAGCTTAGAATATGCACATAATATATCGATTTGAATATCCCATTCCCAAGGGAATCTTAATAGGGAACGATCTACGGAGGTAATATTCATAAACAATAGTCAATGCATACATACTACCGCTTGTTGCGTATCATGGCTCCCCAACGAGAAATATATAACATGAAACCAGAAATTCCGTATGTGAAATGCATACATGCATCTCAAATCAACTATTTTTGGTACAGGTCAAAAAAAATATGTTTTGGGGTTTTTTTTTAACTCTGGATCATATCATATATACATAAAATATCAAAAGAACTTTAAAATCTTTCTAATTGCTTGACACAAATCAGTAACATAAAAAATGACTTTTGCTGATCACAAGATACCATATCTTTGTGCAAGCTCACTATCTCCTAATTAACACAAAATTAATCAAGATAAAAATAATAAATTTTCGAGTTAAAAAAATATATTCAAAATTAATTTTAAAAAATCTGAATATTTTTGCGACAATTTAAGACGTTAAATAAGAAAGGGAGGCTTAAACGGCAATTATTTATAGGAATTCGACATTGAAATGACGAAAGTCGGCGGCAGTCTCGGCTTTACCCTGAGGAAGGCGGACAGCAGTGCCCTGGGTCATTACGTGCGGGCGCTGGTGCGAGAACCGGCACTGAGTGATGGCAGAATCCGGCCGGGCGACAAGATCGTCGCCGTGGACAATGCTCCGCTGTCTCCAATGAGTCACGAGGAAGCGGTTCA